TTAGACCTGGGACAGCTGGACCAGCCGACAAGATGAGCACCTTTTCTATAATGCAGGTCCAGGATCTTTCTGATTTTTAACCAAAAAGAACAGAAAAAAAATTTAAAACTTGGATTTGCAAGTGTCATTTGAGCCGGAATGGCGACGATAAGACAATGTATCAATGTTAAAGTGAAAATTAAGCACACGCCACCCTATTAGTCAGCATTTTAAGGCCGTATTATTGTGAAGTTCAGAAAAAGAGTTAAAGAATCTATTTAAATGCAAATGTGCCATAAAACCGACTAACAGCAATGCATCTCCAAAATGTTCTCAGCGCTTCTTTCAACAGACTTTGCTCATAATAGCATTGGGTTGTTTTTTTTTTTAACTTAGGGAATAATATCTCTGAGAAATCCTGTGTTGGTGTGCAGCTGTGATTACCTGGGACGGGAAAGGTATTGGGGGGCTGGGGCTCCCACTGGGGCGGAATCCACACTTGTGCCCCTGTGCCCTCCCTGGACTGGCCGAGCCTTGTAGCTCAGCCTGGCAGCCATCAGGCAGGGCTTAGGACTGAGAGGATTCTTCTGCCTAGAGTTGTGTCCCCCCAACGCCCCCGCTAACCCCCCCCGGCCTGCTGCTCACGGTGCTCCAGAGCAGCGGAAGGGCCTTGCCCACAGAGCAGGGCACAGAGTGGTGCCCCCACTCACCGACTGAATGAGACGCTCCTCCAAAGGAGGCAAGCACAGCACCTGACTCAGAGGAAGTGAACTGCCCGTGTGGACCACTAAAGCTTCCACCGCATGCAGGAGGGAGGCAGGGAGGGGACAGACCCTCGCTGAGCCCCTGCCTTGTGCCCGGTGCCAGCCTCATGCTCAACAGTGGCCCTGCAGAGGAGGCCTTGTAGAGGACCACTGCAGAGGAAGTGGGGGTAGGAAGAGGGGAATAGCACCTAACAAGGGAGCATGAGACAAGCTGTCACCCGGGAGAGCTCTCTATTTACCAGACACATTCACTGTTTCCTGTGATCGTTCCTCCAACTATCTGTGTGCAGACAACGTAATCGTGAATTGGCAAAATCTTCAGGAATGCACTAAAAATAAAAACTAACTGGGGCGCCTGGGTGGTTCAGTCGGTTAAGCATCTGCCTTTGGCTTAGGTCATGATCCCAGCATCCTGGGTTGGAGCCCTGCATCAGGCTCCTTGCTTCTCCCTCTGCCTGCCGATCCCCCTGCTTGTGCGCTCTCTGACAAATAAATAAATAAAATCTTAAAAAAAAAAGAAAACTAATTAATGAAATCAGCAAAATTACAAAATACAAGATCAATACATGAAAAATATAAACTGTACATGCAAGATACAAAAAAATAATTTTACTTGTATACACTCGCAGTAAATAATCCAAAAGTGAAATTAAGAAAATAATTAGTTATAATAGCATCAAAAAATAAAACAGGAATAAATTTAACTAAAGAAGTATAAGCCTTGAACATCAAAAACTTTAAGACATTATCAAAAGAAATTAAAGAAAACCTAAATAAATAAGGAAGACAATATTTTAAAAACTATTTTATTTATTTATTTGAGAAAGAGAGAGCCCGAGCAGGGCAAGGGGCAAAGGAGAGAGGGAGAGGGAGAGAGAATCTGAAGCAGACTCTGCATTGAGCACAGAGCTCGACGCAGGGCTCAATCTTAGGACCACGAGATGACCTGAGCTGAAACCAACTTGGACCCTTAACTGACTGAGCCACCCAGGTGCCCCAAAGACTTAATATTCTTAAGATGGCAGTACTCCCTATCTAGCCTACAGACTCAATACGATCTCTATACAATCCCAAGTGCCTTTTTTGTTGAAATTGATAAGCTGATCTTGAAATTCATATGAAAATGCCAGGGACCAACAATAGTCAAAACAAAGAAGAACAAAGTGGGGGACTTGCGCATTTCAAATTTACTACAAGGCTACAGTATCAAGAAAGTGTGGTATTGGTATAAGAATAGACATACAGACCAATGAGAGAGAATTGAGAGTCCAAAAATAAACTCTTCTTCATATTTATAGTCCATAGATTTTCAACAAGCCTGCCAAGACAATTTAATGGGGAAAGAATAGTCTTTTTAGCAACTGGATATTCATATACAAAAGGTCCCTTGCTCAAACCATACACATGTCAAAATTAACTCAAATGGATCCTAGACCTAAATGTTAGAACTCAAATGATAAAACTCTCAGAAAGCTCTCTTTTCCTGCCTGACTGCTTGAAGTTTGGCCACCATCATGAATGACACAGTAACTATCCAGACCAGGAAGTTCATGACCGACCAACTACTTCAGTGGAAACAGATGGTCATTGATGTTCTTCACCCCAGAAAGGCAACAGTACCTAAGACAGATTTTCGGGAAAAACTAGCGGAAATGTACAAGACCACACCAGATGTCATCTTTGTATTTGGATTCAGAACCATTTTGGGGGTGGCAAGACAACTGGCTTTGGCATGATTTAGGATTCCTTGGATTATGCAAAGAAAAATGAACCTAAACATAGGCTTGCAAGACATGGCCTGCATGAGAAGAAAAATACCTCAAGAAAACAGGGAAAGGAATGCAAGAACGGAATGAAGAAAGTCAGGGAGACTGCAAAAGCCAGTGTTGGCGCTGGCAATGAGTGAGCTGGAGATTGGACAGCAAAAGGAGTAAAGATTCTGCAGTGACTTTATCTGTGGTGACTGAGATTTTTTATGAGAGGGTTAAAAAACTAAGAACTTTTGGGGCGCCTGGGTGGCTCGGTTAACCAGCCAACTCTTGGTTTCAGCTCAGGTCATGATCTCAGGATCATGAGTTCAAGCCCCATGTCTGGCTTAGAGCTCAGCATGGACTCTGCTTGTCCCTCCCCCTCCCCCTGCTCATGCTTTCTCTCTCTAAAATAAATAAAATCTTAAAAAAAAAAACCCACCAAACAAAAACTAAGAGCTTTTATGTGGGAAAGAAAAAAAAAACTCTTAGGAAAAAAATATAAACATTTATGATCTTGGATTAGAACAGGCATTCTTAGGGGCACCTGGGTGGCTCAGTCAGTTAAGCATCTGCCTTCGGCTCAGATCATGATCCCAGGGTCCTCGGATCGAGCCCCACATCAGGCTCCCTGCTTAGCAGGGAGTCTGCTTCTCCCTCTGCCCCTCTCCCCGACTCGTGCTCCCCGACTCGTGCTCTCTCTCTCTCAAAAATAAATAAAAATCTTAAAAAAAAAAAACAAGCATTCTTAGATATGACACCAAAAGCACAAGCAACAAAAGAAAAAAAGATAAGACAAACTTCATCAAAATTAAAAAGTTTTGCGCCTCAAAAGATACCACCAAGGAAGTAAAAAGATAACTTACAGAGGAGAAGAAAATATTTACAAATCATATATCAGATAAGGGACTTGTATCTAGAATATATAACGAACACTTACAATTCAATAATAAAAAGACAACCTAATTTTAAAATAGGCAAAGGATCTCAAATAGACACTTCTCCAAAGAAGATTACAGATGGCCAATAAACAGATGAAAAGAAGCCTTAACATCATTAGTCATCAGGGGACTGCAAATTTAAATCACAGTGAGATGCTACTTCACATTCACTAGGATGACTAGAATTTTTAAAAAGATAAGAAATAAGTGTTGTAAGGAACCCCTGATATACTGTTGGTGGGACTCTAAATGGTACAGCTACTTTGGAAAAGTCTGGAAGTTCCTCAAAAAGATAAACATACAGTTACCATATGACCGAGCAATTTCACTCCTAATATACCCAAGAGAAATGAAAATATATGTCCACATAAAAACTTACATACAAATGTTTGTAGGTATATTATTCATAATAGCCAAAAAATGGAAATAACCCAAATGTCTATCAACTAATCAATCAAATGTGGTATATCCATATGATGGACTATTATTTAACCATAAAAGGAACTGAAGGACTTACACAGGCTACAAATGGACTTACCTTGATTATGGTAAAAGAAAGAAACCAGTTGCAAAGACTACATGCTGTATGATTCCATTCATACGAAATGTCCAGAATAGGCAAATCCATAGAGACAGGAAGTAAATTAATGGTGCCCTAGGGCTGGAGGTTTAGGGGGGCAAAGGGGAGTGATTCCTAATGGGCACAGGGTTTCTTTTTTGGGTGATGAGAATGTTTTAAAATTGAGTTACCTATTTTATGACGGGTGAGTTTTGGTAGTTTGTGGGTTTTGACAATTTGGTCCATTTCATGTAGTTTGCCAAATTCATTTGCACAGAGATGTTATTATTGCTTTAATGTCTATGAGATCTGTAGTTATATTTCCTTTTTCATTCCTGATTTGGTCATTTCTGTCTTCTCTCTTTTTCTGTTAGTCTGACTAGAGAAAATCAATTTTATTGGTCTTTCAAAGAACCACTTCTTGGTTTCATTGATTTTCTGTTTCCAATTTTATTAATAACTGCTCTTCATTATTTCCTTCCTCCTACTTACTTTGGGTTTATTTTGCCCCCATCCCCACCCAGTTTCTTACGTGCAAGCTTGGATGGTTGCTTTGAGACATTCCTTGTTTTGTAATACAAGCATTTAACGTGGTAAACTTCTCTCCCACTTTAGTTATATCCTACAAACCGTGATATGTTATATAGTAATTTTCTTTCAGTTTAATATATTTTCTAATTTCCTTTGAGATTTCCTTTGAAAAAGTGTATCATTTCTTTCCTAGTGTTTGGAGAATTTTCAGTTATCTTCCTATTATTGATTTATAGTTTAATTCCATTATAGTCAGAAAGTATATTTTGTATGATTTAAATCCTTTTAAATTTGTTAAGGTTTGATTTATGACTCACAGTATGGTCTACCTCCATAAACATTCCATGTGCACTTGAAAAGAGTGTGTAGTCTGCCATTGTTGTGTGGAATGTTCTATAAATGTCAATTAATTCAAGTTAGTTGTTGGTGGTGTTCAGTTCTATCTTTGCTAATTTTCTGTCTTTTATTTCTAGATAATGACATAGAGGATGGTTACAGTTTCCAAGTATACCAGTGGATATATCTACTCCTTTTCTGCTCTGACAAGTTTTGCTTCTTATATTTTGAAGGTCTATTCTTGGGTATTAGACATTTAGAATTGTTATTATGCCTTCTTAGTGAATTGATTCTTCTGTCTGTATGTAATGTCTCTCTTTAACTTGTAATTTTTTTTGCTCTGAAGTTTACTTTGCTATTCATATGGTCACCCTTGCTTTGTTTTGGTTGGGGTTTCCATGTTATAGTTTTTTCATACTTTTTCTTTTACCCTACCTCTGTCATAATATTTGAAGAGTTTCTTTAGACAGTATGTACTGGGTCATTTTTTAAAAATCTGTGCTCTCAACCTCTATCTTTTAATTGGTGTGTTTACTTCATTTACATTTAATGTAATAATTGATATATTTGGATCTAGGCCTCCCATTTTATTATTTATTTTTTCCCTCTATTTTTCACTTTTGTTTCTCCATTTCTACCTTTGGGCTAAACTTTGTTGGTTTGTATTTAGTATCCATTTTAAGTTATCTAATATATTTTTGACATTATCTTATTGTATAATTTTTTTCAGTGTTGGGGAAGACAGTCTTTGAGCATCTGCTCTCCTACATCTCCTACTGTGTGCACCAAGATGGCAAACCCTGACCACTCTTACCTGGGCCATTTCTCAGCACTGGGCATGGAGGTGCCCAAAGCACTGAGGATCACAAGTTGGAATGTGGTGGCCACTGTAGGGGGAAGAAGCCCCAGGGCTCAGGCACCAGAAACTGGGAGGAAGAAGTGCCCATGCTCAGGTATAGACCCTGAAGGACGGGAGAAAAGAAGCTGACCTTGTTTGCTTCCTTTTGCTTCCACTGTTCTCCCTGGGCTAGCCTCCACCACTCCCTGTGCTCCCAGCTGGGGGATAGCCTGGGCTCCTGGTTTTAAGGACTCATGTCACTGCAGTCCCTGACTTGTGTGCATGTTAGACTCTGATCCATGTTCTCACAGAGAAAAAAGTCTAAATTCAACTGATGGGTTTTGGTGAAGGAAAGGTAGGGAAGGAAAGCCTAAGTGGTCTTGAGGGTGGGGCCCTGTGGGTCATTCACTGTAGTGCTGTGGCTTCCCACTGCTGAAGGATCGTAAATATCCTTGAGTTTTTTGTCTGCACTTTCCCTCTGGTAAGTGTCAGAGGGGATTCTCCCATCCGGAGTTGCTGCATGTACAGAAATGCTAGTGGTTCATGTAGACTGCACCCTCCCCACTTTCCTCCCTAAACCATCCTGGTGGTCCCGGAGAAACAATACAGAATTCCAGCAATAAAAAGAGAAATCGTTTTCCATCAAAGATTTAATGGCTGCAGGGTTACTTAGGGACATTTCCTAGTGTAACAGTGCCACCTGCTGGACAAGCCACCAAATGCACTATTTGTGTTCTTTATTTGAGGACATTATTAATCTTTTTTTTTTTTTTTTTAGATTTTTATTTACTTATTCACATGAGAGACAGAGAGAGAGAGAGAGAAGCAGGCTCCCAAGGAGCAGGGAGCCCGATGCGGGACTCGATCCCAGGACCCTGGGATCATGACCTGAGCCGAAGGCAGACGCTTAACCATCTGAGCCACCCAGGCACCCGAGGACATTATTAGCAAGCTCTTGTTGAAACGGCATGCTTGACCCATGGATGCCTTGGAACTCTTTGGCCTGACATCCCCATATTTGGGGGCAGATCAACTCAGACTCAATGACTAGCAAGGTGAAAAGAGCCGGGCAGGCCTCTCTGTTCCATGGGAACGGCATTTTCAAGAGCCTACTGGCCTGGCCTTACCAAATGTCTGTTTTCTGTCAAGTGGCAGCACTCCCCCTAAAGCAAAGCCACCGACTTAATGGGGTCCTCAATTCAGGAAGACCCCCCTGAATGCCAGGGCCTGGCTCATGGCCTCCCCAGCACCATTGCCGTTGCTCCATGTCGCTGCCGTAAAACAGTGACCGTGACTGATCCCTCGGGGCAGAACCCGTTCCAGTCCTGTCTCCCTGGCCAGTACTCCCCTTGATGAACTTTGCCACGTGTCTACTGACTCTGAGCTGTTGCCGGTGGCCTGGCCATCAGGCCTGCTGTGGGGAAGACTCTGGGTTGGCACGTTACAGGCACCCCTCCATGGGGCAGCAAAGTGTGGGAGCAGGTCCCTGGTGCTGGGGGGACAGTGATGTCACAGATGCAGATGTGCTCAGTAAGGATTCTCTGGTGAGACCTGCGAGAGTCAAACTGCTGATCAGGCTTTCAGGACCCTGGTCCACGAGCAGGTTTCCGGCTGCCTCCAGCCCAGGCAGGGGAGACTGTTGGCAGTGAGCTCACCGCTGGGGCTTGGTGCTCCAGACGCCACCTCCCACCCCAATCCACTGCCACTGTGTACTTGTCAGGGTCCCCGGCTGCTCTGGGCGGCTGGCCGGGGGTATAGCTGCCTTCAGTGGGACACGCAGGGTGGACTGTGCCTTTTCCGTCACGCCCAGAACTGGAACTGTGGAGGGATTTGAACTGGTGGAGATGGGAGGAAAGGGCAGTCCCTAGGGGCCTCAGCAGCTCTGCAAAGGCACAGAGCTGGGAACACAGGGTAGGTGCTGAGGACAAGAGTAGCCCATCTGGCGGGGTCCTGAGCTCTGCAGGAGAGCAGGAGAGAAGTTTGACAGAAGGGCTTGGCCTGAGCTTGGGGGGCCCACATGAGGAGTGTGGGCTTTGCGGGGCTGCAGTCGTGGGGATTACTGAGGGGAACCAAGCCAAGAGAGGCTGTGACCGGAGCTGTGCTTCAGGGCCCCATTCATGCTATTCCTTCCACCTGGAATGTTCTTTCTTCTGCTCTTCACACAGCCGACTTTCTCATCCTTTAAGTCTCAGCTTAAATCTCACTTCCTCCAGGAAGCCTGCCTGACTGCTCACTACCCGTCCAGCTCAGACGGTGGCCTCCACAGAATTTTGTATTTTGCCCTCCTGGTGCTTAAAATGTAATTGTTCACTTAATCATTTGCAACTGTTTAACTCGTACCGATTTCCCCTGCTAGACCATGAGAAGATGAGGGCAGCATCCACACGCGTCTTGCTCATCACTAAGGTCGGTCAGTCAGCGAACTTGTAAGGAGAACCTGCTCTGTGCCCACTATTGCGTTGGGCTCCACCATTCCTAAGGACGAAACGTGGACCTTGCCCACTGCTCTTTGCCTGTTGTCTGCCGAAATGCTGGAGCTCAGCGTTAACTGCCTGCCTGCCAGAAGGTGGGTCTGGCTGTGGGGGTGGGGGGGGGGGGGGGGACAAGCAGAGAGAAGGGACAAGAAAGGCCAGGCCAGAATCTGCTGCAGTAGCTCAGAGGAGGTCACGACCAGGCTGTAGCTGGACTCGAAGTGGAAGCAGACACTGCCCGGATCCTTTTGAGACCCTAAGGATTAGGGAGTCCCAGCATGGAACCTTCTGGTGTTTGCCAGCCACATGCAGGCGATCCAGTGCTCCTCGCAGTCTCGGAGCACCAGCAGGGCTGGGGGGAGGCAGGCGGCCCAGAGCTAAGGCTCTACGTCATTATCTCCAGCACTTGTGGCAGATAAGGCCAGAGCCCGGAGAGCCTGGAGACTCACGCTGGGGCCACTGACTTGGGGCAGTGACAGGGCCAGCCTGTTTGCTTGGAAGCCCCCCGAGCTCTAGGACACCCCTGTGCTGCTCTGGGACCACCTCGAGGAAGAGGGGTCTGCATGGGGAGGCTGCTTTGGCCAGCTCCTTCATCGTCCTCTCTTTTCCACGCTCTGATTCCGCTTGCCTTTTGGCCTCCCTACAGGCTCCGGGTCCTTGTATTTTGAGAAGGAAGTTGGCCTGGAGCAGCCGGCCCCGTCAGATCCATCAGGATTTCCCCCAGAGCGCACATTGCTCACGGACTCGGCCCCCTTCCTCTTGCACCCCGGGCCCAAGTCACCTCTGGTGAGAACACAGGGGAACAGTAGAGACTCGTCGAAATTGGTCTAACCCAGAGTTTCACGCACGTGTGTCATCAGGATCCATTTCCCACCGAACACCTTTTAAGATTCCAGGCAACCCCGACTGGGAAACTCCTGGATGGCCGGTTTCCATTTCAGCCTCGTATGTGGTAAGTGCTCTATATATGTTTACTCAACAAATGAATAATCAAAGGGGTTGTGCCCCCTCCCCCTTCACCGTCTTGACTTCTCCGGTGCCCTGTCTTTTCTGCCCATCCTCCTCTGCACCTCACATCTGGCCCTGAATGCATGCTCCCATAGGACCTGCGCACAAGGTATGCCGAGCCTGATCCATCAAGACCTCCCCAGGAGCCTAGATCAGCTGCTTATTTTTAAGCCAAGGCTAAACCTCCTCCCCCAGGAAAAAAAGGGGGGGTGAGGAGTCCAATTTCCACGTAAAGCAGCATAGTAAATGCCACTGGGATTGGTTAAACGCATTTTTTTAGAAGATTCATTTATTTATTTTAGAGTGAGAGAGAGCAGAGGAGGGGCGGGGTGGGAGGAAAGAATCTCAAGCACACTCCCCACTGAGCATGGAGCCCGATGCAGGGCTCGATCTCACGACCCGGAGATCATGACCTGAGCCGAAATCAAGAGTCAGATGCTCAGCAAACGGAGCCACCCAGGCACCCCAGGATTGGTTAAACACATTTCTTGAGGAATTACTGTGTACCAGGCACTGCATGGTTGCTTTTGGATGTGTTTTCTGCTCTGAGAAGTTCTCGCTGCTCTTGGGGGTACATTATTTGATCCAGGAATGAACTGGCCCCCGTCTGCTTGCCCTACTCTGGCTCACAGAGTACCGTTTCTGGACATAGACCACACCTGGGCCCTCATTCCCAGCACCCTCCCACCTCAGTCAGTGCAGAGGGGGATCTGGGTCCAACGGAGAAAAGGCGAGCGGAGAACACACAGCGCAGCTGGAGCTCGGGCCCAGAGGTGACAGGCGGCTGCAGGTCCTGTGGTCGGCTCAGCTGCTCCAGCGGCTCCAGCAGCTTGGACTCTCGCTTTCCATGGCTAAAAAAGAGGCAGAGACCTGTAAAACCCCACATCTTGACATTTTAGAGGCAATTCTAGTCATTTTGGTAGATGTAAGCTCTAAAGAAATGACTAGAATGCAAGGTCTGGCAATGTCTGTCTATAATTAAAGCTGGTATTCCCTGGCAAATTCATTCCTTTTAGAAGCAAATTATTTCAGACTCCCATCAAGTCAATTGCTCATTTCCGGTGGGTTCAGAGGCATTCACAGGTGGGTTACTGATGAGTCATAATGATCCTCACCATAGAAATCCAGGGTCCTTGTCAAAGTAACAAGCAACATGCAGCACTCCAGGGGCTGCCTGAGCCTCTCCCAATCCTCGGGAAGGGTGATGGGGCTAGGGCTTCCAGGGTTAACTAAGAGCCCATACCTTGCTGAGGGTGTGTCCCCCAGTAAGCCAGGCTGTGGTGTGACCAAAGTGTATTGGGTCCTTTCAGCTGGGGGGTTCTCAAATGTAGGGGAAAGTGTATGATTTCATGGAAACTATGAATTGTTTAGATCACCCGCTTTGGGATTATCTGATTCTGGCCTTTTATTGCCAAAGTGCTATTTTATTTTTTATTTTTATTTTTTTTTCCTTTTTAAGTAGGCTCCATACCCAACGTGGGACTTGAACTCATGACCCTGAGATTAAGTCGCATGCTCCACCAACTGAGCCAGCCAGGATCCCCCCAAAGTGCCGTTTTATAACTATAAATTGTAGATGACCGATAGCAATGCAAAATACTTTTTTTTTTTTAAGATTTTATTTATCTATTTGACAGAGAGATACAGTGAGAGAGGGAACACAAGCAGGGGGAGTGGGAGAGGGAGAAGCAGGCTTCCCGCGGAGCAGGGAGCCCGATGTGG